ACAATAAGGGAAAGCAGAAATGGTTGTAACACACTCAAATTTCTTTCCCGACTTCTTTGAACACCTGGGTCGTAAATTCATGACTTAACAACAGCAAAGAAGAAAGGGTTCTCCAACAGTATCACAACAGCTGTCATTACCCAAGGCTGTGGCTATTTATAGCAACTGAATCACTAATTCATCACATGTACCTGTAAACCATTATCGTGGTAATATTTCAATCATTATTATTACTAAACGCCAGAAGGATGATCGGGGACCAATCTATAAAGCTCATATTGATACAGACAGAAATTATGGCAATTGTAAATAAAAAGAATGATAAAATTCATTCACTCATAAATCATTTAAAATTTAGTTTACAAATGTGTCTAAGTAACATTTTAGAATGCTATGTAGACTGGAAAATAATAAATACACAGTGAAAATAGCAAAAATTACATCTTTTTCCTTATATGTCATGTTCACCTCATCATTTAAAGCTGCAGGAGGTAAATTCTATGAAAATAACTTGTTGTCCTATTTGCTGAAACTTTCACTATATCCTGACAGTAGAACATGAGACAGATGATCTGTGATAATCTCTGGCTCTTTCTAGTGCTTCTAATGATGTTTGCAAGAATCCACCAGGCCTGATCGAAAACAACCAATCAGAGCTGAGAAAGATAGAAAGCCGTTTTGGGTTAGAAGAACCTAGGGACAACAATCAACTATATTTCTTGGCTTCGACTGGTTAGAATACTTTTAGGATATAGTGAAAATGAAACAGTTACTTAAATTACTTATTTTACTGCAGCTTTAACCCACAGTTATCTCTTGGAAACTGTGTGTACGACTGGTCTCATATTCTTGCAACACATTCTTCTTTTATAAATACCATTTATGGTTTTCGTGTGTACACATGGTTTCTACATCTGGGCCCTGGAGTTGGAAACACACAGAGTGCTGATTGTAGGTCCAAACCCTGGAGTGTCATCCAAATGTCCTTATTTATTCATAGTAGGCTAAACAACCCTCTGTGTGTGTGTCTTGAATTTGTATCATCATAGTTGGTCATTCTCAAAGCACATTTGTATGGCTTCATTCATTTAAATTGACACTCTTACCCTGGGAAATTGGATTTGTGGTTAAACTGGGTGAATTGAAACATGTTTGCTCTGCTTGTTTGATGGATACACTGGTCCTGTTAGCTTGTGTGGGAAGTTAGTAAGCCTATACCAAAAGAACTCCATGGAGGGTGACCTGCTGCATCTGCTCATTCTAAGGTAACAAAAACACGATTCCGATAGATTATTAAATACTTATGAAAACATACCTCTGAATATTATATTCCATTTTTAAATAATGAATAAAAATAAATGTAAAAAGTGAGTTTTGAGGGAAATAAAACTTGTTACACTTAGATCTGTTATGCCCTACATAATTTATTTCTTTATTTAATCTCTCTGAGGACTCATTTGATTCAGCTACAAGAACATTAAAAAAAACACTTGATATATTATTATAGTGTGAACTAAGCTTTGTAGCCTGATCAGAGTAACAGATAAAGTCTGTCAGTGGTGGCTGGTAAGTATTTTTCTGAGTGGTACTGCAGCCACTGAAGGCTTCAAAGCTGTTGGTACTAAGCTTTGACTCTGGATATAATAGAAGACTCTGACATTCACTCAAAAATCGCATCAGAAAGGAAAACACTCCATCCAACAGCTCAGCTTTGCTACTTCTACATCTGTCTGTTTTCTCACTGAGCAGAAAGACCCTCTAAAACAAGTTTATGAAATTCATAAATGCTGTATGTACATTCAATTTAACAAACATAAGAAAAAAGAATCTAAAAAAAATAATTTTGCAGTTAATTTCATGCCATATAACTTCACTTGGAGTCATTAAAATGCATAAAAAGATAAACCAATTCATTTGTTCATTTTAAATGTTTAATATTTGTCTATTAAGCTTGCTGACTGATATAAGCATTGTAGCTGGTGGGGCACCACTGGAGTGCATGAACATGAGTCAGCACAGCAAGGCGGTATTGATACACAAGAAATGAGTCATCATATATAATGAACAAGGTAACACATGACAGATTTTTGTATGTTCCTGTCTGGTTACAGGTCGGTGTTTAACCTCTAAATCAACATTAGACTGTCATTAGTTATTCTCAAGCTCCGGGGCTTCCTTACATATCATTAAGAGGCTTTATTACATTTTCCTGATGAAGTCGTCCAACCTGCTGCATTGTCATCATCAACTGGGATTCAACCAGTGTGTGTGTTGCTGCAAAGCTTCAGCAGGGCAGCAGCTGTGCACAGACAGCGGTGGTCAAGTCAGATACGCAGACACAACAGGAAATAGCACATTTTCCCTGCAAAATAAAGTTGTGCATTTTCCCCTATGGATATTTCCCCATGTATTACTGTGCTGTTCATAAGAACGCAATTTTCTTTAAGCGCGCCCCTAAATCAGTGGTTTTTCCTTAGGAGACCCATTTTATCAATGCCTAAACTGATGACCCCTGACCCTTTTTTTCAAAATAATTTTTAACGATCATAGGCTTCTTTTTTGACAGATTCAGTTTTTTCTTCTCATTGTTCTATCAGCTCTTTGGTTGTTTTTACTTTTCTAATACAGGATGAGTGAAGGCTCTGTAATTATAGCTTGTGTTCAGGTCTTCAAAGTCTAACATGATGACAAATATAGAATAAAATCCAGCCTGCAAGATTATTATTTTTTTAATATTTTTGTTCTAGTTGTTTCATATCAATTAAACTACACTTTCATATGCAGTTTTAAAAAAAGTATTTTGTTTGGCACAAAATAATGGCAAAAGAGTGCAGGTTTTGGGGCTTAATTTGTTGTTTGTTGCAAACAACCAAGATGATATAAAATTGATACTGATATAAAAAATGTATAAAAACTTATTTTTTGCATTTTTGCAGTTAATACGTTTTAGGAAAATAACTTATATATGTATATATTTGGTGGCTTGAAGATAGTTGACTGTTGAGTCTCATTCCCAGCATCAGTATTTTGTGACCTGGAAATGAGACTCGACAACAATCATTCTGGCTACTGACTGGTTATTATGACAGATAATCTGTCTCATGTACTACTGTCAGGATATAGTGAAAGTTTCAGCAAATATGACAAAAGGTTATTTTTTTAAAGTTACCTACTGCAGCTTTAAGTATGATGTCAGTCATTTCAGAATACTGTGCTTTCTTGTAGTACTTGAGGTGGCTCCCCTTTGAGATGACAATATAAGGTAATTTTGTGTTTGAGTCTTTCATTGCGTTGTTAAAGAATTCAGTGTGACCGTGAAGAAAAGAAAACCACTTTACAGCAATTTCCATTTTTACAAAGCAAGAAAGATGAGTACAAGTTACCTTCTGCAGCTTTAAAGTGGGTCTACTTTGTTACATAACTGCGAGGCCTTGTTCTACAAATCTTGCTTTCAACTCTTTTTTGTTCAAGTTTTACTGTGCAAAGGCCTTCATTAAATAGTGTTTTATCAAATTACCACATCTGGGGCTAGGTGGGAGGAACAGGAGGCTAAAACTAGTGGAGGTCTATAGAACAGACCAATAATCTCTGTTATAGTCCTGGTGCCACAGCAATAGAAGACAGTTGAGTAATGAATACAATAATTATATTCTTTGTGTTCTTTTTGGGGCTGCAAGCAGCAGTTCTTTTATAATCAATGAATCTGCTGATCATTTTTATGGCTCATCAATGAATCATTAAGTCTAAAATAAGGTTTTAAAAAAAAAACTGAAAATCATAAATCAGAGCCCAATGTGACATCCTCTTACAGCTTGTTTTTCCCCACCAACAGTCCAAACGCCAGAGTTGTTCAGTCTTTAATCATAAAAACAGAGAAAGCAGAAAATGCTCACACTGGAGAAGCTGGATCTGAAAGCGGATGCTGTTTTTGTCTATTCTTCAATGTTTAAAATTGTTGCAGATCAAGTTTCTTTTGCTCTAACTTTGTCACTAACTTTGTCAGTTTTCAGGCACACAGTTCTTTTGTGCCTGAAAACAAAGCGAGGTCAACATGCAAGCCAGTGCTTTGCTGCGCTGGTGACAATGTAGACAACTGGAAGCTTAATTGGCTTTTTATTAAATTTGCTTCATTTGGTACTCGCTGATCCACAACGGGCCAGAAACGTAGTTTAAAAGCCCCCAAAAATCTTTGAATCAATCATCAGTGCTGATCAATAAACCAACCAGCGCCCACAGACACTGTCACAAAGACTTATCTGCAGTGACTTGAATGCTTTGAGGACCATGAAAGGCTTTCATTTGACCAAATTAAGGTCACTTGAATAATTCAATTAAATTCTGAGATTACGCCCGGTTAGCTCAGCTGGTAGAGCTGGCGTCCCATGTACTGTGGCTGAGTCCTTGCTGAAGCGACTCAGGGTTCGAATCAGACCGGCTGCAGCCCTTTGCTGTGTGTCATCCCCTCTCTCTGCCCCCCTTTCCTGTCTGTCTTCAGCTGTCACTATCATAAAGGCAATAAAAGCCCCAAAAAATACTTAAAAAAATTAAATAATTCTGAGATTACATAAGGCAACAGAAACAGAGATAAAACATAAATATATATATATAAAAAAAATCTGTCAAAATCAGTAGTGCATCCAGTTTATTCCACAGAAATCTGAAAGCAGTCTGAGTTCTGAGTTAACCCGGGAGGACATGAAGGGTGATCCAGTCCTGAGAGCGGGTTTGATGGGTTTTGAGGTCCAGTAGTGAAGTGATGTAAGTTGGTTATTTGTGTCCAGATAAACGCAGTGCTGATCTCTTTCCCACAGAGAGAGAGGGCCAGTGGGCTTTCCCACAGAGAATGCAGTGATGGGTATTGTAGGAGTCACCACTGAATCTAAGAGTCTGGGAGGATTTTATTTTGAAAGGTCTGAGCGGAAGCTGCGGTTCCTTCTGCTGACTGCTGACTGTATATTACAAAGTGATCAGTCCTGGCGGGCTGATTGACTGCATGCTGTTCACCAGTGGAGGCTGGGAGGAGGGATATTTGCAGGCTGTCCGTGTTCCTCCGCTGACCCTGGAGCAGCTAATCTGTGGGAATTAAACTGGGGATGACTGATGATCACAAGGTGAGTGACGAACCAAAACTTCCCTGTAAGACTGTTAGGGGTTTCTTTTCGGGGACATTTTGCTCCTCTGTGTCTTCCGTTAGTGCGTTTAATGCGAATGATCTCTCACTCAACCTCAACATTTAAATCACTCACGCTGCCTCATGTTTCTTCCTTTTGCAGTTTCCGTCCGGTTCATTCGTTACACTGTCTGTCTGTCTGTCTGTCTGTCCTCTCTCTGTGCTGTTGTCTAACTCGAGAGGGGAAGAGCGTCAGTGAGTAAATAAGTGGATTAAAACTACAGAATTGTTTTTTTTTTTTTTTTTACACTGCGCTTTCCGTGCAGAGCAGATTTCTATGAGGTTTTCTAACAGTTGTTTTCATCGAACAGGGAGTCAGACCTCATATATATTTATTAATGCACAGCCCATATATCAATAAACACAACTTGAAATATGTCCTTGTCTGGTGTAATAACAGTGCCTCATGCTCATTTCTCTATTTTGATACCTTCTTCAAATTTGGCAAAAAGAAGGGACACTACAAGAATAATATTCGTTTTAATATTTTCTTTGTTTTGGAAGTAAAGCCAACATCAAAAAAAAAAAAAAAAAAAACTCTAATAAAATTGCAAGGCTTCACCTGTTGCATTCCATTATTATTATTTTTTCCAGGAAATATATTGGAGAAAGGAGCTCTCTGAATTTCTTCTTTCAACCCTAAACAGTGTTTGCAGAGCTTCCTCTCGTACCTGAGCGGTAACACTGAGGGCAAAGAGAGCCCATTCACCGCTAATTGAAAGCGAGCCAGCTGTTTTCATATTTAATAGTAATTCTCATAAAAACCGGGAAAAGCCATGCTGTATCAGCAATGCAGAGAATGTTTTCTGTGCTGTAAAAGGGTTCTCCTGGACTTTAAACAAAATATTAGGGTTAATCTAATAAAAGGATGATACAACTGCCTGAGTTAGTAAAAGCCAAGAAAAGAATAGTTTTTAGCTTCTATATATATCAGCCTGAAATATCCTCTCATTTCTGTGTGTTTGACCTCCATCAAATGTGCAAGCACAATAGGGCAGGTTTCTATTATTAATGGATATTTTATTTTTGTATTATTTTTAATTGATTTAAAGGATGAATTGTCCTTATGTTTGCATATGTGTATGTATATTTAGAATAACACAGAAATTCTCAAGTAAAGTACAAATATCTCTAAATTGTACTAGTAACGGGAGAGAGAGAGAGAGAGAGAGAGAGAGAGATAACACGAGCCAGTAGATAAAGGTGATCTGTTGGACAACCTATCTCAGTCAACTGAGCGCTGCGATCACTGACTTTCTTTCTATCTGGACTCCTGCAAGCAGATAAGGGCTACTAATTTTCATGTTCCTTTTTGTCCTGCACATGTGTGAACTTTCAGCTGAGGTGTTACACGTCCCTTTCACTGTAATGAGTCTCACCTGCACCTTTCTGCTCTTCATTAGCATATCTTATCACTGTTTTTTTTGATGGCTTTATTTTTATGAATTGTACCTTTTTTTTTTTCCAATAAATAATTAACAATTACAGCAACATTCACAATTTGACCACGCTGCATGGGAAGATCCAATCAATTTGAATTATTAACGACTTAATCTTTCATTTTAGATTTGCAGTAGTGTGACATTCAGTAATGTATTTACTCCAACGTAAAAAACAAAACATGAATCACGGCAATGGAGCAATATTCCTGACAGGTTTTCTCTGTCTTTCTCTGACTTTTGACTTTGACTCCATTTCTGTCTGTTTTCTGTGTTTAGTACTGCTTTGTTCAGTTCAGCTCCCAGCACAGACCCCGCAGACATTCAATACATATTAAATATAAAGTACGTATACTCTTTGATGTAGGGAGAATTTTGTATTCCATGTTGCATCTGTATATGTGGAAACCAGAAAAATGGCTTTCCTTTAGATGTTGGATGCAGGCCTGTAGGCAGTGTTGTGCATGTTGGTGCTGTTACGCGACGGCCCTTGTGCCTTCTACATGCCCTTGTTTCCAACCACAAAGTGTCTCCCTCTGCATCAGATTTTCATCGTATTGACTGGTCCTCCTAAACAGACTCATTAAGTCTGCTGAGGGAAAGCCGCTCACCTTTTGAAAGGCATCCCGACAGCTGAACTCCACACAAACAGAAACAAAAGCAAAAACCTGTATTTTCATTTTCAGTGTCTGACTGTGTTCGGATCATCAGGTCTCTCCCCTGTTGGGATTTTTCCCCAGTTGTTTGTGGGCACTCTGTTTAACAACTACACGTCACTCCTTATTAAGCAAATCGAAGCCTTTTGTGAGATAATGCACCTTTTGAAGCTTCATGGGCTATAATCTACTTATAACCTTCCTGATCTGTGCTGGGTGTTCCATTCGATGGACTGATCCCTATGCCTTGGAAAAATAATCTCTTCACTACCCTGGAAACGCATTGATGAAATGAAGTGATAAAATTATTTAAAAGGATGACAAATTATAACAGCCTCTTCCCCTTTGTTGTTGTTGTTGTTGTTGTTGTTGTTGTTGTTGTTGTTGTTAATGTCTGTCAGTCTTTCCATCCTCACACAGCACATAGGCAGTTATCAGTGATAGTTGTTAGGGTTCGACATTGAGCCAAATACTGGACCAGTCATTTTTACCACATGGTGTCGTACGTGAGCACACTGTAAGCTAGGCGATAGAGTGTGTGTGTGTGTGTGTGTATGTGTGTGTGTGTATGTATGTATGTATGTATGCATATAGTCATAGTATAAAGAACACACCGTAATATGAATAAAATCTGAGCTAACTGTGAGATCTAGATTTGTATATATTACAGTCGCTGTAACGAATCCAACATCATAGCCATGGTTGAGGGTTTAACCACAAAAATCGACAGTGTTTTTGAGAATCCATCCGATATCTCAAAATAAAATATCGTGATAAGATATTTTTCAATATCTCTTTCACCCCTACTCAGTAACTTACAATGATAATGATAATAATGATACGCAATGTGTCCAAACTTCCACACACATACCCAGTCAGAAAAACAGCCTCTGATTAGTTGACACACTCAATCCAAGGCATCATGGGATTGCCACATGTTTAAGGTCATGGACTGGACCGGCAAAACCAGAAACCAACCCAACCCTAATAGCGGTGGAATATTTAAAGCTGCATTATAAAAATTACTTTTTGTCATTATTGCTGGACAGATAAACTGTAAAAATAAAACATCTGGTTCTTCTGGCTCAGTCTAGTGCTCCTAAGTGGACTTTTTTTAGGGCTAGGGAACCCTATGTGGTCTTAAATATGCTCTTGATGACTACATTTATGCACATGATATTGTGCTGAAACACTGAGGCTAAAGCTAACAGGTTCCAGATCATTTGATATAATTCATAATAAATGACTCAGGGCTGTATGTGGTGATACGAGACACAGAGTGTGGGCTTTAAAAGCCCGACAAAGCTTATCAGTACAGTGATAACCTCTGTCTGACGATCTTTTTTCATTGCAGTAGCTTTTGTGTGAAATCCCCATCTAAGTTGAAAATATGTCAAAGCCTTGAAGAACTAGCTTTTATTGCAGATAAGCCATTTTCAAAGTCTCTGGGAAGAGAGTTACTGGATAAGGAGATCTTTCTCTTTTTGAAATACCGTAATATAGGCCTGGTACCTTGTTTCAAAAAGAAATGGTCCCTTTTCATGGCTTTCTACGGAGCCCTGGAAGAGTCATAGAGAGGGAAAAGAAATAATTTGATTAAATAATTGTTACTCTTAAATTACTTAATTTGTGCTTTCGATTTTAATAATTCATGCTTTCAAATTAATAAATTGCTCTAGGGTTAGTAGTTCATGGCCATGCTTGTTGGAGACTTGAGGTCAAAAAGAGTGCAGTAAATGAGTGTATATTTAGAGGTAATATGTATGGATTCCGACCTGTGGCTCTTTGCTGCGTATCATCCCCTCTCTCCTGTCTATCCTGTTAAATACGAAACCCACTGATCCAAAAATACCTTTTCCCATATGCTAACATTGTGAAAGAAGCCGCTGTAAATTGGTCGATTCTTTAACAACCCCCGATGACTGGTTTCACTAACAGAATTTGATTTATTTGGCCCAATAAAATGTGGAAAGTATAGAACAGCGGCACAATTAAATAATTGTATTCCCACTGTATCCAGTTCTCCTTTATACATCCATGGGAAGGACAGATTAGTTAGTTAGTGTGTGTGTGTGTGTGTGTGTGTGTGTGTGTGTGTGTGTGTGTGTGTGTGTGTGTGTGTGTGTGTGTGTGTGTGTGTGTGTGTGTGTGTGTGTGTGTGTGTGTGTGTGTGTGTGTGTGTGTGTGTGTGTTGGACTGGACAGGGACAGTGAAATAAGAATGTCTGGACAGATTTCAAGGAGCTGAGGACGGCTGCTTTACTCCGAAAGATTTGATTGAATAAATTTGGAATCGCTGTGTCACAGTTTCTTTCTGATGGGTAGAATATTACAGGGTGTCCCTTGCCATTAGAACCTGTCACCCTGATGGGTACATAAACAGATTATTTGGTGACATAAACATTAATTTATTATTATTATTTTTTTTCAAATTTTGCAGCAATTACAGTGACGCAAACAATAATGGCCCACCCAACCCACTCTCACAACCTGTTACAACAACAGGCTAAAAAAAGGAAAAGTAACAATACCAGGAATTTAAATAAACTAAATAAATACAAATAAATGAACATGGAATAATATAGATTTGCTAATTGCTACAACTCATAGTAGTTCATCTGAAGGAAGCCTTTTCAGGGCACTGAAGAATGATAGAAATGGTTGCCACTTTATAAGAAATGAATTTGAATCTCTCAGAGAATACTGAAATACTAATGCATTTTTAAGCCAAATGGAAATGGAGGGGTGCTGTGCAGAGGTGTGACACCTTGTGAAATTGTAGAGCAAAATGAAAGCAGCTAAACACATATGACATTTAAATTATGTAGTGATTTTAATGCTGCAGTA